TATATCACAGTTCTTACCTTGCTTGATTTAACATGAGCAGTTTGGCACAGAATCTCATCATATACTTACCTCTTGGTTATCAGCTATAGGCATCATGGGTAGTGCTATAGCTTGGTTTATATCATATCTCACTCATCACTGACAATTTTTTATTACTGTCCATAACTTCAAATTTTCTGCTTGTTCCCTCTCTCAAGGTGTCCCTCAAGGCTCTGTTCTTGGACCACTTCTGTTCAATATTGATCTGTTACCCCTTGGACATATTATCCATAGCCATGGTCTCAGCTATTACTGTTATGCCCATGGCCTGCAAAGTTACATATCAACTTGCTCCGTTTCTGCTCTTGCACCTGACTTGTTAAATGCCTGTATTGCTGACATCAAAATTTGGTTACATAGCAATTTCCTAAAATTAAGAAATCCTGCAACCACAAAATCAGTCCTCCATCTAGGGAGAAACCTACAGATAGTCTTTTGACCAGGACAGCTGGCAATATATTACTACAAGTGGAACAAAAATCAGCAAAAATAATTTTCACATAGTTTTTGGAACCCTCAAGATGCAAGTAAACAATACACAATAATGTTAAAATAGCATAATCGCTTCCATCGTTTCACTGTTAACCAAATTGAAAAGAATCCAATAATTGCTGTGTCTTTTCTACTATTTTGGAGTTTAAGGCAAGAGTTGTAGTTAATGGTTTGTTAATTGCGAGAACTGGGCAGAGAAAATAACGTGTGATAAACCTACTGTAACGAATCAGTCCACTGAAGGCAAGTGTAGTGAAGAACCCAAGTGCAGTTTATTTACAGGTGAAATCCAAACATCCAAACATAATCCGAGACTTGACTTGACATGAACAGACTTTACTAGAACAGACTTGACGAGGCATAAACAGACTAGACTCACCAACAGCGGGTTACAACATCAATACATGACCAGAAACAATGGCAACAAGATGGCTACTTATAACAGACAAGGAGGGTCACATGACACGAACAAACCAATGGGAAACAAGACACATGACTAAGACAACTAATCAGAACATGACACCGACAAGGGAATCACATGACTAGACAATAACCAATGAGAGCATGACACATACACAAGGCAGAGATACTCCACAATGTTAAAGTCGGCCTATTAATAATACTATTAATAATAAAATGTATTTTAAGAATTTGGCTATCGGAATCTGCCCATTTGATTGTAAAACATCAGCGATTTGAATTCAGGATTGGTGCATCACTATATATAATTTACATTAGATTGGAAATCAGAAGATATGATCAGTTCTGCTTTTCTTCTTACAGGAGGTGCTTTTAACCTTGCGCAACAATGGTCGTTAATGTAATATTGAATGAATTTTGATTGGAGTCTGCTAAATTAACTGAAGCATAATGAGCAAAATTTTCTGCATTAGTTCACACACATACAGTACAGTTTTAAAAGAAAGCAAGATGTTATGAGCAAGTTCCTAAACTAGTTTTATGCTCAGATTCAAGCTCAGCTTTGCTATGCCTAGAAGCTCAAAAGTCAGAAACTAGACACGATATTGTTTTGGAGATACTACAGATAGTGTACATGATACAACAGACAAATAAACTAGATCCGGCACATACTGGAGTATCAGGGTGAAGCAGCAGACACGTTATGGCAAAGTGAAGTATATATATGGCAAGGGAAGCATGACACTGACAGGGACCATGATAAACTCCAAAATAAAAGACATGAAAACATGAACAAGAAACACAACCCAAACACAAAACCCCACATTACACCTACCCATACCACCAAACCTGTCCCTAACCTTGCCCGTATCACACCACAATAGTAGCAAAAGTGTTGTCCATTAACAAAAGCTTTTAATCACTGTATAACGTCTGTCAAAATCATTTTTAGATTTTTTTAAAAGTGCATGATCATATGAAGTGAAAGTTTGATGACATTTGTATGCATTTTAATTTACATGAAATAATGATCTGTTAAACATTAGGTAATGTTTAATAAGTGTATTAGTAAATATTAACACATGGTCTCACGTTTCTCACTTTTTGAATGTATGTTAACTTATGATCTGTTAAGAATTATATAATCTTTACTAATGATTTATTAATGAAAGTTATTATAAAGGTGTTACCACAATGTGTTTTTGCAGCGTTCATAAAAATTGTGATCATAAAAATTGCATAGCACATTTCAAGCACATGTCTGTGTACTATCTGGAATTGTGGATTTGTCAGACATACACATAACATTTGGTAAAGAAACAGACTGTCATTTAAAACACCAAGACTTTAAAGGCAGTATGCCAGCTTTATTTAACATATTGAAAGCAAAATGGAATGTTGATCCATGTGGCATAATATGTAAAAATAAAAATAAAAAGTTATGTGGAACATTACACATACAGTATGTGAAAAATGCATATTTCACTTTATGCCACATGGATCCAACATATTTGGATTTTGCTTTCAATCTGTTGAGTAAATTGTTGTAGTTAAATTGTGCTGATAGTTGTTTATGTTTGTGCAGGTGGCAGTGGGATTTTAGCTGGAGGGTTAGGCTCAACATCAATCATCAAATCACGGCAGAACAACACTGGTTCTTGTCCAAGACCCAGTTTGTACTGCCACAGATATAAACTCTCATTTGGCTTCAGCTCAAATGAGAGTTGTTCATCCACTTCAGTCGCTTCGTTCCAGCTTTCGTTTTCAGTGCTGACATGTGAACCTCCATATTCTGCAGAAAAGGAGAACTGACACTTCGCAATTAACCCTGAAAGGGCTCCAGATTCAATCGAGGCTGACGTGGCTATCTTCCAGTTGTGCGTGATCTGGGACATCTTCTCCTTATTGTATCCAACCTTTTTATTAATTCTCTTTTGCCAGGTCACTGGTGTATTGCTGTCATTAGTTATTGTTTTAATATTCTCCCAAATGCCAAATGCTGGGCCTTTAGTTACTGACAGCCCTCCAGGCAGGAAGTTAATAACATCGGGATGAACAGAATAGACATCGACACGCTCGTCTTTGTTGAAGTTGGTCCCTTTGTAGTACTCAACTCCCCACTCTGAGACCGGCTTGAGGAAGTAGTAGTGGTCTGGCAGACCCCAGTAATACAGACCATCTCTGCAGTTGGGATGCAGGTCGTATTCGACAGCATCCGAGTCTTGATTCATGTCTGTTGTTCTTCGGTAAGTGCCCTTTCCTTGGAAGGTGATGTAAAACTTGCCAAAGGCTGAGAGGTAGTGGTCTCCCCCCAGGCAGTTGGGATGAAGGCTGTAAACTACAGCACCGCTGTCTGTCGACAGATCGATGACCCTGCGGTAAGAAGTGCCCTTGATGATGTAGAAGTAGCCATCCTGATGACCAAGGTAATGATCTCCATTTTGGCAGGCAGGGTGCAGACTGAAAATAGTGATGCCTAAACCTTTATTGAAATTACTCGACTGCATATAGCAACCGAGATCAGAGCGGATTATGAAATAGTAGTCTTTCACTCCGCAGAAATCAGTACCTTTGGTTTTGTTCTTGGGAATAATGCCTTTCATCATGCCTGAACCTGCAACACAGAATAACCCAAACACTCAGTCTCCACACCTAAAGCAATGCTGTTATGTTAGTGATTCTATAGACATTCTATAGCTCACTAATTGCCAAAACACAAACCGGACTTACACACAAATTGCATCGCAATCGTTTGTCTGGAAATATTATGAAGTCTGTAAACAGCTGTCATCAAAGGCCAGATGAAGACAGATGAAAAGAGAAGAAAATACTGTAGCAGGTAGAGCAAGATCACTGTTTGCGATACGTGAAATACTTGAAGAAAATCCTAAATACTGAATTGAGAGTGAGGGATTATGAATATAAAAAATATGAATTTGAATAATTTCAATGTAGGTATGTTTTATGTAGCATGATTCCACAATGTTAACAGGACTGTGAGATTGGTGTGGTGTTAAAGAAACGGTGGAACATGGACTCATTACATGTAATAGATATTCAGAGGAAAGAAGTAATCTAACAGAAGAATCTAAGAAGAACGGTGTTCAACAATTAACATTAAACAAGCTTTTAAATCCAGTAGAAGGGGGTAATTTATTAATACAATTTTTAAATAGAAGCCATTTAATGAATAGAATATAGATAGGCTATTGTTATTATTGTTGTTATTATTAATAGTGATAGTAATGGTAGTGATAGTGATATTAATAATAATAATGTAGTTATTTCTCGTCTCTGGACTGTGATGGACTTGGGCTGTAGATGGAGGAATGGTAGTGATAGTGATAATAATAATAATAATAATAATGTAGTTATTTCTCGTCTCTGGACTGTGATGGACTTGGGCTGTAGATGGAGCAACATTGAAAGCACGAGTCGAGTAACGTTAGGGATATAGTGTCTCTGATCCAGTACCACAGTAGATGGCGCTAATGCTCTTTTAGAAGAAGAAGAAGAAGAAGAAGAAGAAGGCTGCATTTGAAGGCCGATTGCGTCACTGCGGTGCGACGAAGACTTCAACTGCGTCCTCCATTTCGCTGGCAAATTTTTTTATTTATTTTTATTGCAAGAAACACATAAAATAAGGCAATACAAGATCGTAAGAAGATTCTCAAGAACAGAGCACCAATCCAAATGAAAGAAAGAAAAAAAAACATGAAGAGAGAAAAGAAAGAAAGAAAAATAACTACACAATAGGGTCTATTTCGCTGGCAAATGAAGAGGCTTGTTTGAGATGAGCAAAATCTGCGCAGATATTTTGTTAATTTGTGTAGCTTGTCTAACTTCATGTGATGATGTCCGTTAGCCCCATGTTACTTCATAACTGTTGTTATTCTTTCAATTGCAATAAAAAAAAAATCTCCGCAGAACCGATCACCGGTGATCACCGCGAGATGCATGCCGGTTAGAAAAGTGTCCGAGTTACCCAAATATGCGTCCTGCTCCACACTCCAGTCCAGTAGGTGCACCTTTGAAGTGGGTTTGCCAACCGCCATTAAAGAAGAAGAAGAAGAAGAAGAACACACAGCTGAGCCATCGAACATGACTTCCGCATGACTGAAGCTGTGCTTCCTGTGTTGTGGACCGAGCAGCAGCGCAATGCGGAGATGAAGGCGCTTCGCTGCTTCTGCTTCTGCGTGTGTTCTCTGCTTCTGCTGAAAGTGTCCGCGGGTGAGTTCATCATGATCCGTCCGAGCTCCTCTCACACTGCCATGTGTGCCTCTGTACTCACAGCCTTACATTGGAACTACTTTTAATCGTTGTTTGGTGTTTCATCTGTCCTTCTCATCTGTCACAAAAAGCTTTTACTCTTTCAGTAGGTTTAACATCGCGACTATAAAACAAGTATGTTCTGTATCCACCTTTCTCCTAAAGATAGTGTGACCGTATTTTAGTTATCAAGCAGAGGTAGGCCTACAGTGGGGGCAGGATGAAGTGTGGGGGGTTAAGTAGTCCCCAGAGTAGCACAGTGACCATATCAAAACTCAGTGTCATTTCCATTCCTCAAATACATCTGTTATAGTCACAGTTATACAGATTGATCATAAACACAGCTAAAAGGCTTCCTACCAGTGGCCGTCCTTCACAAAACTTCACATCTACCACAGTTTATCACGGGTAGAATGCACAGTGTTTCAATACAAGTATTTCAGTCAAATGTAAGTTATGCAATATTTCAAACCTTTAACCCACGGCAGAAAATCACCCTGCCGCAACAGTTTAAATCAGCCCAATTCCGTGCATAAAATGTGGATTTGGCAGCCCTGCAATGGTGACTGATTTCCTTCATTCTAGCAGTGTTGGGCAGTAACTAGTTACTGGTCACTTAGTTACTGTAATAATATTACTTCTTGCAGTAACTAGTAGTGTAACTAATTACTAATAAGATTTCAGTAATTATTACAGTTACCATGCATAAAACAGCTTAGTTACTAGGGGTGCTCCGATCGATGGGCTACTGATCACTATCGGCCGATAATCACGCTGGGATGATCGATCGGCGGTCTGTAAAAGGCCGATCTCATAAACCGATCTCAAGCTGATGACGCTGGCGTGAGAGGTTTGGCACGACATGCAGCATCACCGTCTCAGTCTCTGTCCGGCGCGGGTGAAATAACTATAATGCTGAAGGTGAGGTACTCGCATTCATATTTCTTCATTAAAGGGGTCATATGATGCTGCTAAAAAGAACATTATTTTGTGTAAAACGGCATCCATGGGAGAGTTCCCAGGCAAAAGCCACTGCTGACTGCTGAAATTCGGCGCTCTATCAGAAAATCCTGAAGGAGAATGTCCAGCCGTCAGTTTGTGACCTCAAGCTCAAGCACACTTTGTTTATGCAGCAGGACAATGATCCCAAACACACCAGCAAGTCCAGCTCTGAATGGCTCAAGATAAACTAAATTAAGGTTTTGGAGCGGCCAAGTCAAAGTCCGGACTTGAATTCGATTGAGATGCTGTGGCATGACCTTGAACAGTCCATTCATGCTTGAAATCCCTCCAATGTAGCCGAATTAAAACAATTCTGCAAAGAAGAGTGGGCCAGTGTTCCTCCACAGCGATGTGAGAGACTCATTGCCGGTTATCACAAACGCTTGATTGCAGTTATTGCTGGAAAGCGTGGCACAACCAGTTATTAGATTTAGGGGGCAATTACTTTTTCACATAGGGCCAGGCAGGTTTGGACCGCTTTTTTCCCTTAATAAATGAAATCATTATTTCAAAACTGCATTTTGTATTTACTCTGGTTATCTTTGTGTAATATTAAAATCTGTTTGATTATCTGAATCATTCAAGTGTGACAAATATGCAAAAAATAAATTAAAAAACAGGACGAGGCAAAAACTTTTTCACACCACTGTATGTGCACACATCCTCGTACCTCACCGCTCCAAACTACAATTTATTTATTTATTTATTTTTTTACAGAAAAGAATTTATGTTCTGATTATTGTTGAGTTGTAGGCTCACTTAAGTGACTGCACTTAATTTCATTAAGAAGAAATTAATTATTTATTTTAATTGTTTAGCCTGACATGTTTACTGTTCCAAAATGTTCTATATGTTTCTTAAAAATAAAATGTATTGTGTTCAGTGGAAAAAAAAGTTGTTTTTTACCCAGACATTTAAAAATAACATATTTTAGAGCTATAATCGCAATACCGAGATACCGTGAAAGCGTGATATTTTTATCTAAGGTTATCATACCGTCAGAATCTCATACTGGCCCATGCCTAGTGTGGACCTGCCGCATGTAGGCCTATAACAGCTTTCAGCAGAGATCGGCCCACAGAGAAAAAGCCGTCTGTCACTCAGAAGTGTTTTGTAGAGTCGGCACGGCTCTGGCCCGTTAGCACCGATGCGGAGACTGAGCCGACAGTGCCGCATTTCAGCCGGAATCGGCCCGAATGTGCTTGCTATCTGGGGAGCCTGCTGGTTTTTAGATTATGGGAGGCACTTCCGGTTTGGGGAATTTCCACTCAAAAAGACCAAAACAAATCATTTCAAATAATCAAGATTCACTGCAAATAGTCATTTTCTTTCAGTTTGACGTTCAGACGTCAGGAGAATGATGTATTTGAATGTGACGTGCTGTAACAGGAATGCCTGTGGCACGAGCTCTTCTCATTCGCTGTGTCTTTTCATCTGGATTGTTTTCTCTTTTCTTTGAAAAAAAACAAAACAGGCAACATATACTGTGCATTAGTTATTTAATTAGGCCTACCGATCAATCCCATGAATAAGTCACTTAATGCTAGGGCTGGGTAAAAAATATCTCGATATTAATCGATTCTCATTTTTGCGGAACGAGATCAATTCCTAAATCCCAAGAATCAATTAGTCTAGCCTGTTTTCAGTTAATGGATGGAACGTTGAAGGGCACCTCCCATCCAATAAATCGCAATAAGCTTTGTGCTTTGGTACTTTTCATATGAGACAAAGTCTCAGATTTCAAATTCTGTCCATTGTATTGCAGTATTTAAACAATAAATGCTGTTTTGGCGCTGTTTAATGTGAAGTGATGGATCGCTGTAGCGCCTCAGTTCAATAAAAGCGGCAGCGCGAGGCGCACGTGAACTGATCATCTCCTCCACATTAATACCAGTTTCAGCAGAAAATAAACATGGGTAAACATCCGAGGGTAAGTTAAAAGAAATAATACAATTTTACAATCCGTATCCTGTCTCATGTAATCGCTCAATCAGTGTTTCAGTCTCGCAAAGACGCCAATATAACGGCTTGTAAACAATGTCACGTAAGAAAAACATATTCGGTGACCATAAACTCATTAGTCAGCTGAAAAATAAACTTTTTTTTTTTTTAAGCATTTTGCTTAATATATGCACCATATAACATATTCATTATAATTTTTACTGTTCTTCAATGTTTAATTTGTTTGAAAAAAATCCATCAAGTTTTTATGACAGCCACCATTTAAATGTTTATATTAAAAAAAATAAAAATAAACAAATAGAAGTAGAAATATTAATATGTAACTTTATTATTGTAAAAACTTAAAACGTAATTTTAACCTTCAATATTATAGTAATGTTGTACCAACTGACTCTCATGTATATTTTACAGCATTAGTTTAGAAAATTTGGCATGTAGTGTAATTTGTGTCAAAACCCAGCCCTACTTAATGCACCAAAGAATTTCTCTGTATTTGTTTTGTTTTCAGGTTTGTTTTCACACAGATGCTTTAAAATGTTATTTTCTTTCACTTCTGATCCCTATTAGCAGTGTTTACTGGAATGTTTGTAGCTTTACAAATAATGTAATACATAGGTGCAGGGCTCACAAAATTTCAAAATCACTGGTAGTTCTTCTGGCAGGCACTCTTCAGGTTTTGGTAACCCAAAATAAATGTAACTAGCCCACATAAAAAGACTATTCATATATAAATACGTGGGTGTGCTGTCTCTGTGTGTCTGGCAGGATTCAGAGATCTGAGGCGTCCTGAGAACGTCAGCGTCGACTCGCTCAACACCCGTTATGTGCTGCGGTGGGACTGGCCTCATGAGACCGCCGCCAACCAGACTGTCACCTTCACTGCGCAGTATCTACGGTAAGAGCCTTCATATGTGTTTGCTTCATGCACGTGACCCATGTGTCCATGCTTATTTGGGTTTGTGACTGAATCAGCTGATAAAGTGGAAAAAAAAAATACAACTAATAGTTTGTACAGGTCATGAGACATCACACACTCTGTAATACATAGTTTGAGGGGCCGAGCACATGATCACAGTCTAATGTGTGACACAACATCGCCGCAGCTCATAGCAGTGTCTCTGATCGTGTAAATGCTTCTTAAGGTCAGGTTTATTTTTCATCTCAAAATACTAAGGAAAATATCTGCTAAATTATATTTAGCATAAAGAAAATTAAGCCTACACTTTTTTTGGAATGTCAACAGTCTTTTCCTCCAAATTTCTGATTATAGCATTTTGTCCAGATGTTTTGTTTTTATTCTCACTGTTACTGTAATGCAGAAATGAGTGAAGGAAAATCAGAATAAATGAAAGACAGTACAACGAATACTACCAAGAGCATTATTGTTATAGTAATCTATATCATTTTTGCATTACAGCTGTAAGAAATGAGGGAGAAATGTGTTTAAATGTGCTCAGGCTTTATTAAGCACCGATGAAGTCAAAGGAGACGCGAAGGGCCCATCTTCAGACAGCCAGATATTCACCCTAGTCTATACAAATCACACATGCATATGCAAAACATCATGATGACAGATGTAAATAATCATATAGTCATAAGCTATATGACTGATTAGTGTGCCTTACTGTATAGTAGGGATGTAGGCAGGGTTTTGACAAAAACAGAAGCTAGTAAACCTTGGGACGTCCAAAAAAGGGGTGACATTTTAATGCTTCAGTGAACTCTAAATAAGAGATGTTCAGTTGTTTCCCTGAGGTACTCATCTGTCCAGGATCGAATGACCAACTGAACTGATTGTTTTGTTGTTCTTAAGCCTGTTCCTGGAGCCCCACACAACCACATCTAACACGTCTACTTTATCTGACAGACTCGTTTCAGTGTCTGCTGATGAGCTGAATCAGGTGTGTTTGATGGAGACAGCACTGGGGCTCCAGGAACAGGCTCGGGAAGCACTGCTTTACTGACAGATCAAGTGCACTCACGTTTCCTTTCCTCCAACAGGGAGTTTCGGTCCCGGAAGGCCAGTAATGAGAAGTACTGGACATCGGTGTGTGTCAATGTTTTGGAGCATCGCTGTGATTTCACTGGAGCTATACATTACAAAATCTCTTTTCTGCTGCGTGTGTGGGCAAACACGTCACAGCAGTCTTCCGGCTGGGTCCAGATCAGTTTCTGTCCTGATGAACACGGTGAGCTGTCTGTCTGTCAGTAGTCTGTCTGTCTTTCTTTCTGTCTGTCTGTCTATCTGTATGTCTGTTAGTAGTCTGTCTGTCAGTTGTGTCTGTCTGTCTTTCTGTCTGTCAGTAGTCTGTCTTTCTGTCTGTCAGTAGTCTGTCTGTCTTTCTGTCTGTCTGTCAGTAGTCTTTCTGTCTATCTGTCTGTCTATCTGTATGTCTGTTAGCAGTCTGTCTGTCTGTCTTTCTTTCTGTCTGTCAGTAGTCTGTCTGTCTTTCTGTCTGTCTGTCTATCTGTCTGTCTATCTGTATGTCTGTTAGCAGTCTGTCTGTCTGTCTTTCTTTCTGTCTGTCTATCTGTATGTCTGTTAGCAGTCTGTCTGTCTGTCTGTTAGTAGTCTGTCTGTCTGTCTGTCTGTCTGTCAGTAGTCTGTCTGTCTATCAGAATCAGAATGAGCTTTATTGCCAGGTATGTTTACACATACGAGGAATTTGTTTTCGTGACAGAAGCTTCCACAGTGTAACAGAATGACAGTGACAGAACAAAAAAACACATAATAAAAAATTTAAAATAAATTAAAAATTAAAAATAGAACAAGTAAATAAGGAAATAAAAATATACAGATCGACAATTGTATGTACAGGTATATAACAATAGACAGTTGTATGTACAGGTATATTATGTGCAAATTGAAATGTAGACTGAGTATGTGTGTTAGATAAATAAGTGTATGAGTGAATAAATAGTGTAACTAAAGACAGGACAAACGAACAAAACCATAAAAACAACTGCGGAGCACGCCACGGAGGCAGCCATCAACGTCGGCGCCATCGCGAAGAATGTTGTCTATCTGTTGTCTGTCTGTCTGTCAGTCTCTCTGTCTGTCAGTTGTCTGTCAGTCTCTCTGTCTGTCAGTAGTCTGTCTGTCAGTCTGTTAGTATTCTGTCTGTTAGTAGTCTGTCTGTCTGTCAGTAGTCTGTCAGTCTCTCTGCCAGTTGTCTGTCAGTCTCTCTCTGTCAGTCTCTCTGTCTGTCAGTAGTCTGTCTGTCAGTTTGTCTGTCTGTCTTTCTGTGAGTAGGCTGTCCGTCTGTCAGTAGGCTGTATGTCTGTCAGCCTCTCTGTCAGTAGTCTCTGTCTGTCGGTAATCTGTCTGTCAGTAGTCTGTCTGTCAGTCTCTCTTTATGTTAGTAGTCTGTCTGTCAGTAGTCTGTCTGTCTGTCAGTATTCTGTCAGTCTGTCTGTCAGTAGTCTGTCTGTCTGTCAGCCTGTCTCTCTGTCTGTCAGTAGTCTGTCAGCCTGTCTCTCTGTCTGTAGTCTGTCAGTCTCTCTGTCTGTCAGTAATCTGTCTGTCTGTTAGTTTTCTGTCTGTGTGTCAGTTGTCTGTCTGTCAATCTCTCTGTCTGTCAGTAATCTGTCTGTCTGTTAGTTTTTTTTGTCTGTGTGTCAATAGTCTGTCTGTCTGTCTGTTCCTGGCACTGGCGTTTGATTCTGCTATGCTGACCCCTGCTCTTTTCTTCTGCTCTCAGCTGCTTTAGGTCCTCCCTCCAGCTTGAAGCTGAGCTCGGTTAAAGGAGATCTAGAGATCATCATCACTGACCCTCTGAGCAGCACTAACCAGTCCATGAAAACTTTGCTGAACGACAGGTTGAGCTACCGCATCCAGTACTGGAGGCGCTCTGAAGAGCCTCAGGTACCTGTGCACACTCGCGCCAAAAGCTCTCGTATGGGTTTCAGCAGCGGCTGCGTGTGGATACTGTCTGAATGTGGCATCTGCTGAGGACAAGCTGTGAACACAAAGCACTTCAAGTCATCTTCAGTTTAAATCTCAGAAATGCTGCTAAGTAGCGTGACCACATCCTGTAGAAAGATGGTGGTTTCTGATCTCAAACCAGATTCGTTCCTCTCAAAATGTTTATAGTTAAAACTATTGTCACACACACTGGGCTCCAATAGTCTGTGAACATGTGGGAACTATTCTTTTTTTGAAGTTTTAAATAAACTTTTGGGACTTTGAAAAATGTAAAACAAAGAAGAAATAATTTCTTAATATTACAATTAACTACTTAAATTGTAGTTGTATTTTTGTTTACTCATAATAATAGGTATAATGATGATCATTATTATTTAGATATTCACCCATTTCAGTAAGTGTGTATAAAGTAAATGAAGTGTCGGGCTTCTCACAGCACACTAAGACGTGAACTCTCACACTAGTCTGCAGGTTTGTGTTTCACCGGTGCTGTGTGAAGGGTGATTGTAGCATAGCAGCATAAATAGACACTGATACTGCTCATCAAATGATGCTTAATCATCAGCGAGTTTGAGTGTTTCCCCATCACACGAGTGAATGGTTTCAAAACAAAGTATGTTCACATCAGTTAAAGTGTATGCTGATCAACATTCTTAATCTAGGCTGAAATATTAAGTGCATTGAAAGTATAGCCTAGTTCATTGTTATTTCAGAATACCTGATGCGTTCAGTCGTGTTGACGGACCTTCATATTTTACGGCCATGACTGGTGTGTTTTCAATGCAGCATTACAGTATAGATGGCACTGCTGAGTGACATCATTTCCTGCTCTGACTGTCCCTGCAGAAGGCTAAAGACCTGGAGACGAAGAACAATCTGGTGATGCTGACTGAGCTGGACAGACAGACGTGGTACTGTGTGAGAGTTCAGAGCCGTGATGGCTCCCATAAGAAGAGCAGCGTCTTCAGCGACACACACTGCACACGCACTGAAGGTCAGCAGCTCCGTCACACACACAAGTCAATCGTGTCAGATTGAAGAAAATATGTGTAACATGCAGCCACAGAAAGAAAAAACAGTGACACAACTTAACCTCAAATATCTGGCACTGTACCTAGTAAAGGCTACCGTTTTGGGCAAATGATTAATTTAATAAATGTATAACTCATACCTGTGAGTTCTCTTTTAAATAATTTACATGGATATTCATCCACATTTATGAGCATTTATAGCCTACATGTATGGATGATGTTAGAATCTTCTGTCAGACGAATGAGTGTGTGGCTTACAGTGACATTACGACTGAACGCTGTGTGTGATTTCAGGTCAGATGCCGTACTGGCAGATATTCCTGTACTTCCTGATTTCTCTGCTGCTGAGCTTCCTGCTGGTGCTGCTGAACTTCTGCTTTTACAAGATGATCACGCTCCTCAAGAACACCTTCTGCCCAGCCATTCAACTCCCGGATCACATTCAGGAGGTACAGAATATTTATACTCCGTTACCTGCTCCAAAATGATATATATCATAAGGTTTTAAATACATTTGATGCATCTCAGGTCAATTTATACATTTTAGTAGTTATGCGTAGATGAACTGTTTATCCAAATACATTTATCAGCTGTCTTCAGGAATAAAGACAGAAGATGGTGTAGAGAGCTGTTCTGAATGAATCATATATTTTACTTGTACAGTAAGATGTATGGTCTCCTGACTCATTATTGCTGCATATAGTAGGATTAGGGTTAGTTTCCTCTATCTTAAGTCATTTCTCATCTAGCTCTTTGTCTCAGCTGGTTCTCTGTTGTTCCAAGTGTTTTTTTTTTCTTTAACTGGGCTCTCCTGGCCCTTCTAGTCGTATATCAAAAGTTTATCCTCGCTGTAAAATGCAGTTAAGTGCATTTTTAATCAATCACATTTATTTATATAGCAATCACATTTATTTATATAGCACATGTTGGCTTTACATACCAGAACCTAACACATTCATACAATCTAGGATTATAAAATAAATACAAAATTATACAAAATTAAGTAGAGTCAAATGCAAGTGTAAAAAATTAGTCTTTAAATGAAATTTAAATGCATCAAGAATGGCACAAGATCTAATGTGAAGAGTTAAGCTGTTCCATAAGCATGAAGCTGCAATAGAGAATGCGTTAGATTTAACTGAAACCTTTGTACAGATCTTAATGGCCTAGAGGACATGTGTAACTGAAGAACTTGGGTGCCAACCCATTTAAACCCTTAAAAACAAATAACTGCTTGTATTTGATTCTGAATTTGACTGGAAGCCAGTGGAGTGATGTTAATACAGGTGATATAGTTGCATACTGTACTTCTTTGTCCCAGTCAGAAGCCTAGTATCAGCATTTTGAACCAACTGCAGGCGTGAAAGTGAGGCATGAGAAACACTGTAATACAATGAATAACAAAATTCATTTTTAATTTTATGAAAGCTTCAAGTGCAGTTAATTATTTGTCATGCTATGCGTGCATACAGACGACGGCATTGTTGAAGCCATCCTCTTTTGTTTGCCGTGAAACTGACCACTGCCACGTGTATCCTGTCGCAAAATGCGGCAAAAAGTAAACGCCGGTAATAGTGTGACTAAGGTGTGTACATGTCTATACTGCACTTTGATAATGCGACTAAAATAGGAATACTCCACATGTCTTAATTCGATTTGTGTTTACTTCGAGTATGACTTTAGCCGGATTAAGATAATCAAAAATCTCTGTTTACATGGTAGATTCTTAATCAGAGTATTGTCTTAATCGTG